AGTTACCGATGATGGTTGTGGTGCTGGGGTAAGGGGTGGAATGATGCTGGTGGTGGTGGTTATGCTTATTGGGGCGCCACGGTGGCGAGATGTTAACTACCTCGCATGGTATACAGGAGGTCGTGGGTTCAATCCTGAGCCTCACCCCTGCTGTAGATTTGGAGTTTGCGTGTTCTCCCCGTGGTGGAATGGATTTTTCTCCGGGTCCTCCGGTTTTTCCCTCCACATTTCGTCATTCACCCCTAATCCCATAACCACCACTAACCCCATAACCACCACCACTACAACGACAACCGACATTCACCACTGAGTGGCGGTGACGTCACCACGGCACTTGTGCCATGCTAGGTGCACTTTGAGGCCACATGAAGTGTTGATGATGTCGGTGTTTGTGGGGTTCAGAATCAGAATATGGATGTATACTGGACGAATCCGATGAGCATCAAAGCTCTCTTTCACAGATGTCCAGTTGGGGCAGGTCAGAACGTTACATCAACAAAGTATCGGAGGAAAGGAAAACAAATCACACACAAAATAATAACAAAACTAAACGTTTTAATTTTACCAGGTAAAGCCCACTGAGTTATTATCTTCTTTTTCAGAAGCGACCTGGTCACAAATGATAGCTCAACGAAGTGGCTTATCATCATGTGGAATTGATAGAAGCCAAATACTCTAAACGCATTCTTCTAAATGTGGAGGGAAAACCCGGAGAGGACCCAGAGAAAAATCCACGCGAGCACGGAGAGAGAGACACGAAATGTAGAGCAGCAGCAGGCGTCTGGGTCAGGATGGAGCCTCTTGCACACCAGACGAGGAAGATCACATCAGTCAGTGGTGGTGGTAGTGAGTATAGGATTAGGGATGCATGATGATGATGCTGGTGGTTGTGGTTATGGGCTGAGTGGTGGTGGCGGTTATGGGGTTAGTGGCGGTTATGGGGTTAGTGGTGGTGGTTATGAGGTTAGTGGTGGTGGTTGTTATGGGGTTAGGTGTGGTGGTTATGGGGTTAGTGGTGGCGGTTGTTATGGGGTTAGGTGTGGTGGTTATGGGGTTAGTGGCGGTTATGGGGTTAGTGGTGGTGGTTATGAGGTTAGTGGTGGTGGTTATGAGGTTAGTGGTGGCGGTTGTTATGGGGTTAGGTGTGGTGGTTATGGGGTTAGTGGTGGTGGTTATGAGGTTAGTGGTGGCGGTTGTTATGGGGTTAGGTGTGGTGGTTATGGGGTTAGTGGTGGTGGTTATGAGGTTAGGTGTGGTGGTTATGGGGTTAGGTATGGTGGTTATGGGGTTAGTGGTGGTGGTTATGAGGTTAGGTGTGGTGGTTATGGGGTTAGTGGTGGCGGTTGTTATGGGGTTAGGTGTGGTGGTTATGGGGTTAGTGGTGGTGGTTATGGGGTTAGGTGTGGTGGTTATGGGGTTAGTGGTGGTGGTTATGAGGTTAGTGGTGGTGGTTATGGGGTTAGGTATGGTGGTTATGGGGTTAGTGGTGGTGGTTATGAGGTTAGGTGTGGTGGTTATGGGGTTGGGTGTGGTGTTTATGAGGTTAGTGGTGGTGGTTATGAGGTTAGGTGTGGTGGTTATGGGGTTAGTGGTGGTGGTTATGGGGTTAGTGGTGGTGGTTATGGGATTAGTGGTGGGGGTCGTAGAGGTGACCATGGTGAGGAAACACTGAAGTGGATTCAAACTCTGCCGGTAGAGAAAGTGTCTCCGAGCCCTGCATGCTCTCCTGCAAGCTGTGGGGACACTGCTGCCCGTGGATATCCTATACCAAATACAGGATCTCTACGTGATCCACCAACCCTGCAATCAAGTTCATGGATTACCAGCTGCGTCACTACCGGCCGCACATGGATGTTGGTGCAGCATTCACACACCACAAAGACAAGACAAAGATCCCCCGTATAGCCCACACAGACTGTTGCGGCAAGTGCTGTTAGCGAGCACCTGTGAAGCTGGCATGTCACACGAGGGGGTTGGTGGCCAGCGCCACGCCCGGCCGCCTTTGTCTCCCCAGTGGCGATGTTTACACACCGCACCAGGTACCTATTTGAGGCTGAATCAACCTAGGGGAGGCCCAGGACCGGTTCAAATAATAGTCACTGGTGATGGCCGTGAGCCGGAATAGAACTTTGGTCACCGGGTTCGTAGTGCAGCGTAGCGCTACACTACCGCTCCCCACAGATCCACGAACGCACACACACACACACACAGAATCTAACATACACAGAGATACACTAACACACACAGAATCTAACATACACAGAGATACACTAACACACACAGGTAATCTAACACACGCAGAGATACACTAACACACACAGAGATAATCTAACACACGCAGAAATACACGAACACACACATAAGCTAACACACGCAGAGATACACTAACACACACAGATAACTTACCACACGCAGAGATACACTAACGCGTACATACACACAGATAATCTAACACACGCAGAGATACACTAACACACACGTAGATAATCTAACACACGCAGAGATACACTAACAGACACACAGAGATAATCTAACACACGCAGAGATACACTAACACACACACAGATAATCTAACACACGCAGAAATACACTAACACACACATAATCTAACACACGCAGAGATAGACTAACACACACAGATAATCTAACACACGCAGAGATACACTAACGCGCACACACACACACATAATCTAACACACGCAGAGATACACTAACGCACACGCAGATATACACTAACGCACACACAGATAATCTAACACACGCAGAGATACACTAACACACGCACGCACACAGATAACCTCGCGCAAACACATTACACATTCACACAGTGCACACTCAACTCTCCCCCACGCGGGCACTCCTACACACACACACGGCAGCAATGCTCCTCGTGCCGCTGTGCCACGAACGGGGGCGGTCTTGGGGAGATAAAGAACCCCCCCCCCCACGTGCACTGTGCCACGTTGCGCTGCTCAATTATTTACAGCCAGCATCGTGAACTGTCTACCCTCAATCCAATTACACACTCACTCTTCTGCTCATATGTGCCTCTTAAGAGCTATCGGACAATTGTAATACATGTGTATGTAATATTATTAAATAATACATCTCGTGTTAGGTCGTGAGCGAGAATCGAACCCCGGTCGCCAGGTTCGTAGCTCAGCGCGCTAACCGCTGCACCACCGCTCCCCAGCACACGAAAAAAGCATAGACAGAGATCCCCCGTATAGCCTTAACAGACTCATGGCCAAGTGCTGTTATCATGCACGTTGGGAGTCGCCGTCCGCGTTGCTGCTGCTCCGGCGGCCCAGCGCCCCCGTTCGCACAACAACTTGGTCCACCGTTCCCCGTGGGATCTCACACATTCCGTGGGATCTCACACATTCCCATGGGACACGTGCTGTGGAGTGTTGGCTGCTGTGCGGAGGCATCCCGAACGGGATGTCGTGCACGCTGAACTTCTTTCGGCGCCGTACGTAAGCCAACGATGCTCATCGGAGGTCCGGGGGGGGTCAACAAAGAGACGCGAATGAGAATGTGTCGAATGAGAATGTGTCGAATGAGAATGTGTCGAATGAGAATGTGTCGAATGAGAATGTGTCGAATGAGAATGTGTCGAATGAGAATGTGTCGAGCCCACGAGGCTGGGCGCGTCGAAGCAGCAGCTCCCCGCTCCGGGCCGGAGCCTTGCCGGTCGCTCGGGAGATTTGGGCATTTTGAAGAAGCAAATGAGGCAGCGTCCCAACTTCATTGGCAGCCCTCACCCAGTGATGGAACGTTTCACGTCCCTCCGGCAAGAGTCAAGAACTAACCAGGGGATAGCCGCGATGCACTTGCTGTAAAGTTGTTTCCTGTATGATGATTAACCAAGGGGGGCTGGTGTGGCGCGACCGTTCAGGAGGACAGCTCCCGGTGGCTCCTCGCGGCACGAGCGGCGAGAGGTCGATCTCTGGCCGACCTCGCTCATCCGCTCCTAACCCCCCGGTTCGTGGCGAGCGCGGGAGAGCCGGCGGCCACGTCCACTCGTCTCACGGACATCGCCGGAGCAAGTGGCGATCGCGCCGCAGCGGATCGCCGGCACTGTGTTTAAGTCGGGGCACTGACTCCACGCCGCACGGACTCCGTCGGCCACGCGGGAGTTCAGTGAACGATCGGCCCGGCCGGCCACCGGGGCCGGTTCGTTTTGCGTCAGAGGCTTGGAGTGCAGCCGCGGTGATTGCCCGTGAAAGGCATCTCATGACGGGCACCCCTGCTGACATTTAAACGAGGCAGCAATTTGTACGTACAGAATGTTGAACTTCTTTCGCACCGTACGTAGCCAACAGTAGCCAATCCCCGTTGGGATTCATCAGCGAGTGGTAAACATTCCACATTCCCAGGGCCAGAAAACAGCTTCTCGACAGTACAAAATCAATTGGCTTCCAATAAAGCGAAATGTATTGAATCCACCCCAAGGAGATCATATGAAGCTGCGTTTATCCCAGGAAAGAGTTTGAACTCGCAGACTCCAATAGCAGACTGATCTTGAATGTATTACTCTGTCCGGCAGGACTAATTAAAACACATTGCTACCAATCACCCAGAGAAAGCGTTGCCGAGTCTCAGCACTCTTCTTCAGGAGGGTCCTCATTCGGGTGCTTCAGCCAATTCCATTCGGAGTGTTTTTGTGCGGTGAGAAAATCATGGAGTGGCCAAAGGAAAGTGACGCTTTAGAATCGTTCGTTTGTTGTCCTTCCCCCGCACCTCCGATTATCACGGCTGGCTACGTACGGTGCGAAAGAAGTTCAACTTACAGGTGGAGAAAACGCAGGGAGCCACACCTCCTGTGGCCACGAATACGCCTCGAACGTTGATTTGGTGAAAGCCTTCGCACGATGTGTGTGTGATCAGCGAGTGAGTGAGTGAGCGAGTGAGTGAGTGAGTGAGCGAGAGAGCGATTGAACGAGTCAGTGAACGAGTCAGTGAATGAGTAAGCGGGCGAGCGGGCGAGCGTCGCTCACAGTTGAACGTGTGGTCGAGGCGCCGCTGGGCAGAGAAGGCGGTGACGGTCGCCTGGAAGCACAGGTGGAGGCACAGGAAGAGGAAGCTGCTGCAGCAGATGGCCTTGACGAGACGGCCGGTGTGGCCTGCGGGAACACGCGGAGGAGGCACGCGGCACTGTGAGGCAGCCCCGCACGTGGCTCACACGCACCTCCGATTAGCACGGTTGGCTACATACGCTGCGACATAAGCTCAACACACCCACACATACAAAGGGGGGGGAGGGGGGAAAACAAAAGCGCGTGTGTGCGCACGAAGGAATGCTGCAGATGATGTGTGCTGCACGCACCAACACGGTTTGACTTGAATTCAAGGATTTAGAAGCGGGGGCTTAGAACCCGCCGCAGTGAACCTGACTGAGCCAGCCAGGTGCACTGAGCCAGGTGCACTGAGCCAGGTGCACTGAGCCAGGTGCACTGAGCCAGGTGCACTGAGCCAGGTGCACTGAGCCAGGTGAGCTGAGTCAGCACCGCTGAGCGCTTGGCCACGGATTCGTGTTTCAGCCGTCGGTGACTTTCCTGGCTTCTTCTCGAGTCCAGTAAAAGTCGTGAGGTGCATCAAAGTAGCATCCTGCACTGGCAGTGGGCGCCGTGGGTTCATGACGAGGTCACCCCAAGGGTTACGTTCACATGTGGCAGGGGCCGAGGGGGGTGTCGGTGGTGGGGAAATTCCACATTCCAATGCTGAGGGGCCAGTCTCTCCACATATGATGACAGGCGCTTTTGAATTCCCACAACCCGTGCAGGATTTCCCCATCACGTGGTAATCAGTTATTGACCCACGAGGAGTGGGTGGTCGACCCACGGCCGCGATTTGAGCTCTCGCAAGTTGAGCGGAGCGATCTTGGCGCCCACAATCGGAGCGGTGAGAACGCGGCCACTGGGCGGGTGCAGACTGCACGCTTAGTCTCGTGAGTCGGTCTCGTCGTTTACAGATCTGGGTCTCTTCACCACGATGCCACCCGGCCAGATCGATCAGTGACAATAATACGATGCAATTTTAATTCATTCAATAATGTTTGTTTTTAAATAAGCAACTCGTTAACTCCAGTTGCAGTTTATTAAACTATATTGTGTTCATCTCAAGGGGCTGTCACCTGGTTAAAAATAACGTTTCTGTATATATGTGTGTGTGGGTATGGGAATGCGCAGATATCGCATCGCGGCGGTGCCCTGCTCCTGTCACACACCACGTGGGCACCGTGCCACTCCTCGCGGGTATTTTTAGGGTTCTTGGATTACGCTGCAGGGCGGGCGCCTCCCATTCACCCACACGGTGCAGCACCACGTGACTAGCTCTCACAGCAGACTCCACACAGTGCAGCACCACGTGTCTCACTCTCACAGCAGAATCCACACAGTGCAGCACCACGTGACTAGCTCTCACAGCAGACTCCACACAGTGCAGCACCACGTGTCTCACTCTCACAGCAGAATCCACACAGTGCAGCACCACGTGACACACACTCACAGCAGAATCCACACAGTGCAGCACCACGTGACTCTCACTCACAGCAGACTCCACACAGTGCAGCACCACGTGACACACACTCACAGCAGAATCCACACAGTGCAGCACCACGTGACTCTCACTCACAGCAGACTCCACACAGTGCAGCACCACGTGACTCACACTCACAGCAGACTCTATACAGTGCAGCACCACGTGTCTCACTCTCACAGCAGACTCCACACAGTGCAGCACCACGTGTCTCACTCTCACAGCAGACTCCACACAGTGCAGCACCACGTGACTCACTCTCACAGACTCCACACAGTGCAGCACCACGTGACTCTCACTTATACAGACTCCACACATTGCAGCACCACGTGTCTCACTCTCACAGCAGACTCCACACAGTGCAGCATCACGTGACTCACTTTCACAGACTCCACACAGTGCAGCACCACGTGACACACACTCACAACAGACTCCACACAGTGCAGCACCACGTTACTCACACTCACAGCAGACTCCACACAGTGCAGCACCACGTGACTCTCACTCACAGCAGACTCCACACAGTGCAGCACCACGTGACTCACTCTCACAGACTCCACACAGTGCAGCACCACGTGACTCTCACCTATACAGACTCCACACAGTGCAGCACCACGTGACACTCACTCACAGCAGACTCCACACAGTGCAGCACCACGTGTCTCACTCTCACAGCAGACTCCACACAGTGCAGCACCACGTGTCTCACTCTCACAGCAGACTCCACACAGTGCAGCACCACGTGACTCACTCTCACAGACTCCACACAGTGCAGCACCACGTGACTCTCACTTATACAGACTCCACACAGTGCAGCACCACGTGACTCACTCTCACAGACTCCACACAGTGCAGCACCACGTGACTCTCACCTATACAGACTCCACACAGTGCAGCACCACGTGACACTCACTCACAGCAGACTCCACACAGTGCAGCACCACGTGTCTCTCACTCACAGCAGACTCCACACAGTGCAGCACCACGTGACTCACTCTCACAGCAGACTCCACACAGTGCAGCACCACGTGTCACTCACACTCACAGCAGACTCCACACAGTGCAGCACCACGTGACTCACTCTCACAGCAGACTCCACACAGTGCAGCACCACGTGTCACTCACACTCACAGCAGACTCCACACAGTGCAGCACCACGTGACACACACTCACAGCAGACTCCACACGGTGCAGCACCACGTGACTCACACTCACAGCAGACTCCACACAGTGCAGCACCACGTGACTCACTCTCACAGCAGACTCCACACAGTGCAGCACCACGTGTCACTCACACTCACAGCAGACTCCACACAGTGCAGCACCACGTGACTCACTCTCACAGCAGACTCCACACAGTGCAGCACCACGTGTCACTCACACTCACAGCAGACTCCACACAGTGCAGCACCACGTGACACACACTCACAGCAGACTCCACACGGTGCAGCACCACGTGACTCACACTCACAGCAGACTCCACACATTGCAGCACCACGTGTCTCACACTCACAGCAGACTCCACACGGTGCAGCACCACGTGACTCACTCTCACAGTGCAGCACCACGTGGCACACACCTACTAATGGAGGTCTGTGACTAAATCCAAGCAAGTAGGAGCGGGGGTTCGTGCAATGTGTTCTGAAGCCTGAAATCATGAGTTTGATTCCTGGTAACATCAGCTGCGAGTGACATCTGAATTATTCCTCGTCCCCGACCTTAACAACCAATGCAGCATGCGGAGGGCCTTCATCCACGAGTAGATTGACAAAGGGCTGGACACTAATTAATGGAGATGCTAAATCGAAAACACCATATCAGACTGTCATCGGCAGTGATTTAGGGCCCGAGTTAAAGCTTGACAGTTCTAAACGCCCCTTCTGGGAAGTTTCTACATCTGCTGGTGACCACCTCTCCATGGCGTGAGGTCACTGATTAACCCACCATCCTCGATGGGTGACAGCCGGGTTGGTTATTACTATTTATCAACGATATTTTATTTTACCACGTAATGCCCGCTGAGCTATATAGCTCTTTTTCAGAAGTGTGCTGGCCACAAATGACAGCTTAACGAAGTTGCTTACCATGTGGAAATGGAGCGAGCAAATGCAGTGCTACAAATGCGTGATTGTGAATGTGGAGGGGAAACCCGGAGGACAAGCGAGAGAGAGAGACACGCAAACTCCAAATATACAGCAGGTGCCAGGGTCGGAATCGACCCCACGACCTCACGTAGACCAGGCAAGGGAGTTAACATTGGCTGGCCAACGTTTTGGGCAACGGCCCTTCTTCAGAGCAGACGGGAGGGCAGAGAAGACCGCGCTGACAAAATCCCTCTGTTCGCCCGCGTCTGAATCCTGCACGCATCAAGGGCGACGTTCTCCCTACGGAGGCAGCGCTATCGACGTCCAGCTCACCCCCGGGGCCACATCGGTGGCCGGGGCCATCGACCTTCGAAGGGACGTTTCCCTCCCGACCCTGGTGCTCGAGTCGCCGTGAGCCGGCACGAGGCCGACTCAGCCCCGAGACGGCGCGGACCGAGGTGGTCGTCACCTGGGCCACGTGACCCGGGAGACCGTGGGTTGGGAGTGGATTGTGGGCGCACGCGGTACGAGGTGGTCTACATTAGGCAGTACAGAAAGTAGGTCGTTGAAATGTTCACCTCTCCGGCTGTATTATCACAATTGCGTGGTGAACAAGAAGCTCAGATTGTCGAAACAGATCGATACACACCAGAGAGGGGCGATGCGAATCGTGCTCGGCGACTAGAGCGGACGCACCGCACCGAGTACGCCAGATTCTCCGTGCGCCGCCCCTCTCTGCCCCGAGGCGGCCACCCGACCTGCAGGCAGCTCCGCTGTGAACGCCGCTCTTACGGGAAGGGGCAGCGTTCACGATGCACGTGGTGAGCTAATTACATCGCCACTTCTACCGGTAGAGCTGCCACGACCATCACCACCACAATCACCACGATCAGCAGCAGGAGCAGCAGTAGCAGCTACAGCAGCAGCCACGCCGAATTTGTGTGAACGTAGCGACAGTGGGGCAATGTTACAGTGAGGGAAAAAGTATTTGATCCCCTGCTGATTTTGTACGTTTGCCCATTGACAAAGAAATGATGATGAAAGAAATGGTCTATAATTTTAATGGTAGGTTTATTTGAACAGTGAGAGACAGAATAACAACAACACAAATCCAGAAAAACGCATGTCAAAAATTGTATAAATTGATTTGCATTTTAATGAGGGAAATAAGCATTTGACCCCTCTGCAAAACATGACTTAGTACTTAGTGGCAAAACCCTTGTTGGCAATCACAGAGGTCAGACGTTTCTTGTAGTTGGCCACCAGGTTTGCACACATCTCAGGAGGGATTTTGTCCCACTCCTCTTTGCAGATTTTCTCCAAGTCATTAAGGTTTCGAGGCTGACGTTTGGCAACTCGAACCTTCAGCTCCCTCCACAGATTTTCTATGGGATTAAGGTCTGGAGACTGGCTAGGCCACTCCAGGACCTTAATGTGCTTCTTCTTGAGCCACTCCTTTGTTGCCTTGGCCGTGTGTTTTGGGTCATTGTCATGCTGAAATA